AGAGCTCCCATGCCATATATTAGGGCCCCTAAATTTGCCCCTAGTTTTTCCTTGAGGAACTTAATAGTTTTAGGTTTCACATTGAAGTCTTTGATCCATCTGGAATTAGTCTTTCCATATAGTGTGAGGTACAGATCCTGTTTCATTTTTCTGCAAATGGTTATTTGCGAATGCCAGCACCATTTGTTAAACAGACAATCTCTTCCTCATTTAATGGATTTCGGCCCTTTGTCAAAGATCAGCTGACCACAGGTCGATGGAGCTACTTCTGGGTTCTCAATTCTATTCCACTGGTCTATGTGTATGTCATTGTACCAGTATCAGGCAGTTTTGACTACTGTGACTGTATAGTAGGTTTTAAGATCTGGGAGTGTGAGACCTGCTACTTTGTTCTTCTTCTTCAGTAATGCTTTGCTTAACTGAGATCTCTTTCCTTTCCATATCAAGGTAGTGATTGGTTTTTCCACACTGTTAATCAATATTGATGGGATCTGGATTTGGATTGCATTGAATGTGTAGTTGCTTTGGGTAGAATTGACATTTTCACAATGTTCAATCTTCCTATCCACGAGCATGGTATGTTCTTCCATTTATGTAGATCTCTCATGGTTTCTTGAAGTACTCTTTTATGTTTTCTTTATGCAAGTCTTTTGTGTCCCTAATAAGATTTATTCCCAAGTATTTTATTTTTTTTTGTTAGGTATTGTAAATGGTATTGATTTCCTTATCTCTTTTTCAGCAATCTCTTTGCTGGTGTAGAGGAATCCCACTGATTTTTGGATGTTGATTTTGTATCCTGCCATGACGCTAAATCTCACAATTAGCTCCAGTAGATTTTTGACTGAGTCTCTTGGATTTTCTGGGTATAGGATCATATCATCAGCAAATAGGGATAGTTTTACTTCTTCTGGAGGTATGGTATAGTAAATTACTTTGTGTGGCTTTTCTACTCATAAGTCTTTGTAAACTCCAAGGTGGGATTTGCTATGAGCAACTGAGGAGCTCCTGATTGCTGAAGGTGTCCACCTGGAGTATTTCTGTTGGGAGTGGCAAAAAACAATGTTCTGGGAGGTGCCCACTCTCTCAGGTGCTTGGAGTTCTGATGCTATAATTGGCTAGTTTGACCACCCTGCCGGGCTCAAAGAAAGGAGGCCTCCTGAAGGCAGAACTCTCTCGGACTGCTGGTCGAGGAAGACTTGCTGCTGAAAGAGACACGGGCTCCTGAGACACGCGCTGCTGGGAAAGAGACGCAAGAGGCACGCACCCCGGAAAGAGACTGTGAGAGACTCTTGGCTGAGGGACGGTGGGCTGGGAGAGAGACTGAGCATTCTTCCTGAACTTGAGTTGTAGACTGGTGCTTCCCTAATAAACCCTATAATCTGTGAGTTCTGTGTGGCCACTGCAGTGAATTATCGAACCCAGGAGAGAGGTGGTGGGTGCTTTGGGAGGAACAGTTGGTGAAAGGGCTGGAGGGAGGCAGCATGTTTGGCCTTGCAGTAATAGGCCTTGGGTTACTGCTGTCTTCCTCTTGTGAGATTAGAGGAGGTCAGAACATGTGGCCTCCTTGCCGTTTTTGCAGGAGGTAACGGTTTTTTTGAAATATGTCACATAAGAGAAAATATGAAACCACAGGTTATATAAGCTACATTCCTACTACACGACAGAATTGCACCTCATTGCCATTCTAGAAACAAAGCCCTACTCCTACAGCCTTTTTGCCCATCTACATAGAAGTCATGGGCTAAGTCATATCCCAAAGTGAAGGCTCTTTTCCCTCCATGTCCAGTGTTATTCTAAACAAAAATGTATGTGGATATTAAGAATTTCTACCTTGGTTACCCCTCTTGTGAAGTTACAAGTTATCGAGGAAATAAAGCTGGAAAGCATGCTGCTAAATGAAGATTAAGGAGGAGCATGGTCCTTTGGAAAGGATGAACAAGCTAGTTCTGGTTTCCTCCCTTATACCACAAATTACCAGTTTGTGAGAAATTTTTATTAGCATTCGACAGCAAACTATAAAAAAATACTGTGTGACAGAATTATGTTTTAGGTTCTATTGCTGGTAAAATATACATTGCTTTCTTTGGCCTAAAAAAAAGAAATTAAATAATATCTATTTCTATTTAGGTTTATTGTTATGTCAGAGGGAGATTCCCTTAGTTTCATAGAAAAACTACCAAATTTTCTTTTGACATCTACCATTAGCACCATTTGAACATGCTTGATTACTTTCCCATCAATTTTCATTCTACCTGATGAAGGAGAGGATCACAATACATCTGCTCAATAGTCCGAGTGGTGCTTGCAATACAATTCTTTAAATCTGTTAAAAAAAGAATACTTAAAGTTAGAATGACTTCATTCCATGTTCACATAGGTGACCTCAACTAAGCAAAGAGTAGTTACTTATCTGTAACCAGGGTTCTCATGATTTCAGTTTCACTCTATGGACCAAGAAGGACTCGATAGTTTTAAAACAGCTAGTCCTTTAGGTTATGAAGACTTTTAGGTTAAGATAATTATATTGAGGTTAAAAAAATTATCTTTTGGAACTGGCACCAAAATTTCTTAAAGAGGAAACTGTTCTAAAAGAAACTTAATGGGTCACGTGGGTGTAAAATATGTGTGCCAGAGACAGAATCTGAAAGGAGAAGAAAGAACAAGAGGTGGGCAAAATTTCTCTGAATCAGAATGTGGGAGGAACCTGGATTTTTATTCTTTGTGTGTGTGTGTGTGTGCTCCACAGATAAAAAGGAGAAAGGAAGGAAAGAAGGCCTAGTCTGAACAACAGGATAATGGGGCCAAAGGGCTTTTAGGAACAAAATGGTGAACAATTCAATTTGACATTATTTGCATAGCTCAAACATTCTCTGCTTTATCAATCTTCAGTAAAGCGTGCTTTGTATAAAAAAGATCTTAAAAGCATAAATACAGGAAAGCTAAATTCTAAGATTCAGTCAAGTGAAGTCAGGGTTGAGTATAGAAATAACTAACTGAACAGAACTCTGAAAAGGCAGAAAAATCCCAGCCAAAGGTGATCATAAGACACTAAGCTCCCCAGGAAGCTCCTGAGAAAAAGGCCTTTCTTTCCATAGCTGTGTAAAGAGGGTATGGACCAATCTTATGAAAAGTACAAAAACAGTCATAATTACGCTTCAGGCAATGGCAGGAAGTATGCCCAAGGTACTGACCTCCAAATATTCAAACAAATAAAAAAGGCAAAGAGTAACTGCTTGACGAGTTATGAAATAACCAACCTTGTATATCTTGTTCAATCTCACTCCTCCACCTCTGAAGGCAGGTCTTAACAAAGTTTATCTCTTCATCTGTGACTGTTCGAGGAGCTGGATGTGAGGGCATTTCCGTGGAAGACCGGGGAGATGTAATTGGTTTAATCTCAGACTTGTGTAGAGAATCTTCAGGAGAAGAAAAGGTACTTTCAACATCCTGAGAAGAGCTTTCTGTACTTGTACTGAAGGAAGACAAAAACCAAGCTCATATGATAAGTGATAGCTTTGGCCTAAATTAATGTACTTTGGAAAGTAAGCTGCTCTATCAAAAGGTACAGCTATACAGGTACTGAGCAAAACATTTTCTTTATATGCATCATTGCATTTAACTTGACTTGCTTATGAGGCAGATACTATTACTATCCCCATTTTACCTACTGTAAACCTGAGGTTTGTAGAAACTAAGCAAGTTAAACAAATTCACCTAGTTAGTCAAGTAATTCAGAAGGATTTACACCTAGACCTGCCTGTTGCTATGCTTCATGTTGTCCAACCATATACTACAGTACCTTCTCATGAAGAAAGGCCAAGAAGGAACAGAGAAAAGGGGAAACTGGGATTGGAACAATCAAGGAATCAATTACAGTTACCAAAATGCAGCAGCTGACTAAAGTAAAACGATCCATCAAAGAACAAAATTTACAAAAGCAGAAAAATGAAGTATCAACTGAACATCCAACTTATAGGAAAACAAATTAGGTGGCACCTTGGAAGAATATAGAGAGCATAACTTAAAGTCAGACAATCCTAACTCTACCCAAACCCACTGCCATTGAGTCCAGTTGACTCCAACTCATGGCAATTAAACAGGACAGAGCAGAACTGCCTCGTAGTTTCCAAGGCTGCAATCTTTACTGGAACAGATTGTCACATCTAGTAGACCTTCTGGTGGGTTGGAATCACCAACCTTTCATTTGGCAAGCTGAGCGCTTAACCACTGCACCACCAGCACCCCACCCCACCCCACTCTACTTCTCCTAGGCACATACATTAAAAAGTTATTAGCTTCAGGTAAGTAAACTAATATCTCACCTGCAAAATCTGTATCTTTGTAGTAGGCTAACTGAAAGCAAAGTATATAAAGCAGCTATTCAGTACATGTTAATTACCTATGAATTAACTATTGTCAAACAGGGTACAAATAGCACATAAACAAACTAGCAGGAATATAAAATAAGCTTTTAATTGTATTTAGGTTTGTTTCAGCCCAAAACTGAAGAACACAAAATTTCCTTTAGTTTTGATTTTAAAAAGGGCCTTATTACCCAATCCCCCACCCCCAAACAATGGAGGAAATCTCTCTTCACTAAGGACATATATAAGGAAAAACAAATGCAATACAGACAGGAGAATGGATACCTCAATCTCAAAAGAGACTGCATGTGAATGCTCATATATGTTGTAACTTTAATAAACCAAAAACCAAACTCACTGCCATTGAGTCGTTTCCAACTCATAGTGACCCCCATTGGGTTCCCAAGGCTGTAAATCTTTACAGAAGTAGATCGCCCAGTCTGCCTTCCATGGAGCAGTTGGTGGGTTTGAATCACTAACCTTCCGGTTAGCAGTCAAGTGCTTTATCCACTACGCCATGGCTAGTAACTTTAATAGTCTAATAATATCTGGCAGTTTTATTTTATGCAATTTAATAGCCTGCCCCTCAAAATTGACATTTATTTTTCACAAAATACACAAAAACGCTCTATTTAAAAGAAAAAAATCAAAGAATCCCCCTACTCCCCACTCCCAAACTCATGCCACTCCCTAGTGATAATTATTCTTAACATTTGGTATGTTCCACCCACATATGTGGTCCCCAGGTAACGTTTTGTGTTGACAGCCAACCTAAGGTTGGTGGTTTGAACCCACCCAGAGAGACACCTCACAATAAAAGGCTTAGGATTTGCTTCTACTTAGATTATAGCCAACACTATGAAGCAGTTCTGCTCTGTAACACATGGGGTCACCATGAGCTGGAATAGACACCACAGCAATTAACAACAACCCAGATATGTATTTCTATGCACACATGAATAAATAAAATATTAGTATGTGGGGGTGGAGAAAGGGGGAATGGTTAGGTTTCTCAACATATAAAAATATATTTTTCCATTACCTTTCCTTGGATGTCATGTCAGAAACTGGACAGTGTGCTGAAGAAAGTGGCAATGTCACTTGTGTGTCACTTTGAGACGGAGAGCTTTCTGAGGCAGGTTTTGTACTAGCAAATTCAATAACATATTTCAACATGTCCGGGAGTGGGAACCGAGCTGGGCCTGAGCCGTATTTCACATACCTAAAAGGTAAAGACAACGGTCTTTTATTGGCCAAGTCTGTTCTGTATTTTGCCTGCCTGACGCTATGCCTGCCTGCTGAGAAAGATCTGTTATCCATGGAGTCTATGAAAAGGCTCATTCCCAAAGGCTAATCAATATTTAATAGGCCACTCTAATAATCTACAAGGTAAAAAAACTGCAAAGGTGAAAATTGATAAAAATCTTTATACCTGGTAGAAAACATTTTGAATGGGCTCCTAATTAAAGTCATGTCAGTTATGCTTGATGTATCATATTTAGTTTCTGGTCATAAAAATAAATTCTGTTTCTTGAAAGAAAATAGATTTATTTATAAGTGCCCAAATCTGAAAATGATGCTGGGTTACTGAGCACCCAAGGGGTTTTTCTTTGCTGTTCTTTAGACAAACTACTTAGCAATTTAAAAAAAAATTGGAGAAAGCCAGAAATGGGAAATAGGTGTTGGTAAAAGGTCAGAGTTAAAGAAAATTGGCAAAGTTTTCTTCTCTAGGGTCCTAAGGACTTTATTAGTCACACATTCATTAGCAAAAACCAGGCATATGATTAAAGATTCCTTTGAAATTAGCAAGTAATAAATATCTTCCAGTATGTGATCAAAATAATTAACAATTTATTTTAATAACACCCAATATTCTGCCATGACTAGCACATGCTAGATTTACTTTAATGAATTTTATAGTTGGCTATAATATATATGTAGTTTAAACTGTACAATCATCATATTGATTGTACAATAATCAAATTGGTACAGGTAACCTCATAATTCTGGGATTCTATTTGACATAAAAAAAAGAGACACTCCATATTTTTCTTCTCTGGATAAACTGAAAAAAAGAAACAAGTACAGAACTAAGGAAAATCATCTGGTTCTATATAAAGACATTATGAAATGAAAATATTAGCAGAAAATAAAGTATAATGCAATATAAAGTCAACCACACATTAAAAGATATATAACAAAGGCACTTTGCAGTGTGGGAAATTTAAAGGGGAAACAATTTGCATGACACAGAGAGCTACAAATATCATTTTAAAAGATCTCAAATACGTGAAGGTAGGAAAACCTTAGAGAAATGCTCTATTGCTTGAATGTATTTTCTTGCTTTCACTGCAGCTATTACCAACTTATAAGCTATACTTATCCTTCAACATCTCCTTTCTCTATGACATCTTCCTCTGTATCTCCTTCCTCAAATGCTAGAAAGAACATCTTCCCACTATGAACTCCTACAGTACTTGAACTGAACCCCTCGTCTATTCCACAACACACAGTTCACATGTCTTTTTAACTACTCAGTGTTTGTTAGATGAATTAATATTTGTCTGGCCTGGACCAAAGGAAACATTTTTCTTACTATAATTCATATGCAATGTAGTATTTGTAATGTTATAGATTTGAAGTTATCATTTTACAACTGTAATTTTTCTCAGATTTGTTGCATTTTAATATGAAGCTTAAATTATTTCTAAGGAAAAAATTTTCTCTGAGACATTTAGCTTCATATTTATGATATCATTTTCCTATTCTAGTTCTGACTTGAATTCCTTTAGACAACTTTTAGAAGCAACTACTTCATACAATGTCACTGCAAAAATGGTTTTAAAAAAGATGTCTTATAGTAACTAGCAATTCTTATTTTCAGTATTATATCAAAGTATCTTATAGGAGCTCTAGTGACATAATGCCTAAGGCATTTGACTGCTAACCAAAAGGCTGGTGGTTCAAACCCACCAGCCACTCCTTGGAAGGAAGATTGGGCAATCTACTTCCACAGAGATATCACCTCGGAAACCCAAGGAGGGGCGCTATGAGCTGAATCAACTCGATGGCATTGAGTTTGGTTGAGTTTATCAAGGTATCTTAGAGAAGAAAGAGTATATATTTTTATTTTTTAAATGATAAAACTAATGCATACCATGGTAAGAAAATTCAAACAACACAAAAGTTGCAACCATAAAAGTCATCTACTTCCCACCTCAGTTCTGCTACCTAATGGTATCCACGAAGTCTTATATGTTTTTCTAGAAGTGTCACACATATACGAGCAGATATGTGTAACCTTAAAAAAAAAAAAAAACCCACAAAATTATCTGAAATTTTAAGTCATTTTATTTTAAAACAAAAATAGTATCATGCTATTGGAAATCCCTTTATCTCTATTTTAAAATCTAACTAAGCCAGAATGCCTTGTTAGTTACTGGTAAATTAAGTATTTTTGAGCTATAAAATATTAGGTATGCTTGGTTCTATAGAAACAATTGAAAATGTCCAGTCTTACAAACTGCAACTAACACTTTAAAATATTGCCTCATTTAGAATCTTGCAAATCACTTCTAAGACAAGTATAAATCAATCCTCAGCACAAATCTATAAAACAAATTGGATAAATGGTCACAACACATCTTAGGTAAGTTCTTACTGAGTGAGAGAGGAAGCTGAGGAGAGAAAAATAAAAAAAAGCTATTGGTCTGTCTTGAGCCTGTTATGGAAAATGTTGTCTCTCAGGGGAAATAATGACCTAGCAAAGGAGTGGGTGGAAGGGGGAATAAAATTGTTAAGTAAGTGGCAGAAAGACATTGACAGTATTTAGAATTTTGTTAACAGATAAATCAATGGAATCTACTTAGACTAGATAGAAATCACATCGATTCCTCCTTAGGAAGTCAGTGTGATTCTGCAGAAACAGTTTTCTGTTTGTTTGTTTTAAAAAAGTCTCAAAGATTTCTCCCTAAGGGAAGTCTTTTTGACCAAAAGGGCAGAAGTTGCCCAGGGATAAAGCTAAGAAGGCAGGAAGGGACAGGAAAGAAGGGTGAAGGGAAATGGTAAAGACAGGAAGTGGGAAGAGTGTAGGGACTGTGAGGAATGCCACAAAACATGTATGAATTATTGAATGGGAAACTGATTTGCTCTGTAAACCTTCACCCAAATCACATTTTAAAAAAAAGAGAAAGAGAAAAGACTTCGTATGTGTCTGAAATATTAGTCCTTTGAATCAATTAGCACTGCTCTCAGTTCAACAGCATTGCTTTTTATCTATCCCAGACACTTCAGAACCAGCTTTTCCAAGAGAATGGATTGGGAAAATGTAACAGTTACTACTCTTGTTTGTGAAAAAAATGACAAGAGAAGTAGAAAAAGTAAAGGGCTGTGAACTGTGAACTCGGGTTTTTCACAGTACACTGCCAGTAACTACATTTGTGACTCTAGGTCCTAAGTTCCCTTGGACTGCTGTTTGCCCATGGATCACATTAGCTGATCTTGAAGACTGCTTCATTCTTAGAAAAAATATTTTCTTGCTATTTTATAAAATACCCTACTTAAGACTTAAATTCTGAACTAATTTTAAAGTATAATAAAATTATCTGATTTTAAGATCCCACTCTTTTACGTTTCTCAACATGAAGGTGTCAATGATGACTTACCTTTCCAATTTTTGCTGCAGAATCTTTATTTCCTCCTTCAACTTTCGAATACACTCTCTCTTACTTCGAATAAGCTCTTTGCTCCTATACATGTACCTAGGCAAATAATCCCAAAGACATAATTTATATTTAAAAACACTAATGGCAAGAAGTCACAGAAAACTAGGACATAAGGAAAATTTCTTAACCACATAAAGGATATCTATGAAAAAGTTAATGCTAACATTTCATGGTGAAAGATGACAGTGTTCCCCTAAAATTAGGGTCGGTCAAGGGTACCCACTCTCACCATCTCTACTCAACTGATGGTATTAGCCAGTGCAATAATATAAGAAAAAGAAATAAAAAGCATACAGATTGTACAAGAAGAAGCAAAACTGCCATTAGTTGCAGACAGCATGATCATCTACACAGAAATTCCCACACAATCTATAAAAAGTAAGTGAATTTAGTGAGGTCAAAAAGTATAAATTAAAAAAAAACAGAAGAAAAATGAATTTTATTTCTACATATTCTTACCATGTAACTGGAAAGTGAAATTTAAAAATACAAATAAAGTTTAACATCAAAAGCATGAATGATTTAGGGATAAATTTAATCAAATATGCAAAAGGCATATACAACAAAAATTACAATAATGACTTAAATAAATGTAATTATACCATATTCATGGATTAAAGTACTCACTATATTGTTGTCAATTCTCACCAAATTCATGTACAGGTTAAGTGCAATCCTAACCAAAAATCCCAAAAGCTGTTTTGCAGAAAATGACAAGCTGACAACTGACAAATTATACAGACATATAAAGAACCCTATATAGCCAGAGGGAGCTCTGGTGGTGCAGTACCTAAGACATTAGACTGCTAACCAGAAGGCTAGCAGTTCAAACCCACAAGCCACTCCTCAGAAGGAAGACTGGGCAATCTACTTCCGTAGTGATACTGCCTCAGAAACCCAAGCAGGGGTCAGCTTTGACTCGACAGCAGTGAGTCTGGTTTTTATATAGCTAAAACAAACTGAAAAAAGAACAAAGTGGGAGAATTCACACTGTATGGTTTTAAGTTTACAATAAAGCCACAGTAAAGCACTTGTATAAGAACAGACATATACAACAATGGAAGAGAATAAAGTCCAAAAATAGATCCACAAATCTGTGTTCAATTAATTTTTGATAGAATTGCCAAGGTAGTTCGATGGGAGAAAGGAGTGTCTTTTCAACAAATGATGTTGAAGCAACTGCACAACTATGTATCTCCCCACCCCCCAGAGCCATATCTCCACCAAATGTAAAAATAAACTAAATGGGTTAAAGACCTAAATATGAGCTAAAAGTACAAAATTTCTAGAAAAAAACACAGAAGAAAATCTTTGTGATCTTGAGTTGGCAAAGATTTCTTAGGTAGATTACAAAAGGGCAAATTATAAGAGAAAATGATACACTAGATTTCATTAAAACTAAAAATGTACATTCTTCTAAAGACACTGGTAAGAAAATAAGAGACAAATCATAAACAGAGAAAATATTTGCAAACACATACCTGATAAAAGACTTGTATCTAAATCATATAATGAACTATTATAACTCAGTATGAAGAAGACCAATCCAATTAAAAAGTAGAACAAAAGATTTGAACAGATACTTCAAAGAAAATATATGAATGACCAGCAAGTACATGAGAAGATGTTCAACATCAACTTATCAAGGATATGCAAATTAAAAGAAAAACTATATAATGTTACACACTCACATTCAGAATGGCAAAAATTAAAGACAGATAATCCTAAACTCTGATGAAAATTTGGAACAAATGGAACTCTCATATAGTGTGGATGGGAATGCAAAACTGTGCTTTAGGGGACAGTTTGGAAATTTCTTATAAAGAAATACTTCATATAAGCAACCAAATTCCACTCCTAGGGATTTACCCAAGAACTAAAAACTACACTAACATCTATACGCAAATGTTTGTAACAGCTTTATTTACGATAGCCTAGAACCAGAAATACCTCAAATTTTTATCAAGTGCTAAATGAAAAAATATATTGTGGTTTATCCATTTAGTAGAACACTAGTAGTAGCCCTGCAGTCAACTCTAACTCATAACAAGGAATCAACTACTGATTTATACATGTATGAATCCCCAAAACATTATCCCACATGAAAGAAGAGAGCCACAGAAGGGTACATACTGAATATTAATTCAACATAAATGCAACATTCTAGACATGACACAATGATAGGGCCAGAAAACAAGTGGTTGTCAGGCTTTTGGGTGGGCAAAAGGAACTGACTGCAAAGAGGCATAAGGGAAGTTTCTGAGTGATGGAAACATTACCTTGACAACGATGGTGGTTACCTGACTACACATTTGTCAAAATTCATCACCTGCACACCTAAGAAGGGTTAAATTTTTTTGTACTATAATTCAATAAACTAGACTCTAAAACAACTGAAGTTCTGTAATATAAGCTCTGTCTAGCATTTTTTTCAGGAATACAAATAGTATTCACATTCACACACTGTGGCTACTCCTGTACTGTTCTTCACCCTCAAGTAGCACTGTTCTCCCCAAAAGCCTAGGTACTCAAAAGTGTGATCCAGAGATCTGAAGCATCGTTAGCATCACCCTAGGAGTTTCTTAGAGATGCAAATTATTGGGTCCCACCGTAGGATTAAATGAATCCACCAAATCTGCATATTTCCAAGGTCTCCAAATAATTCCTATGCATAATATTTAGTATAAGCTCACTTTTATAGCTGCTATATATATCAGGAAGGCAATCAACCAAGAACTCACCTGTCTATATAAATAATCTGAGGAAATTCCAGTTTATTGTGAATTTTCTCTGGTTGACCGAGGGACTGATTGAACTCAAATCTTGAGAGTTCAAAGGTCAACACTGGAGGTAGTTTTGTAAACCAACACTACGTGAGAAGTAGAAATGTGAAAGAAAAAAATAATTAATGTTAGGACACAGCAATAGCCAAATTTATATTTCTCATCAAAATTTCTTCTTTGGGATTATGGAATTTATATTCAAATCAAACCCATACTAAAGCATTTTTCAACCCAAATACTAAAAGAAATGATCACTTAGAATCATGCTCTCTTAAAATACATCATTAAACACTCCTCAAAACCCCAAATTTACTAGCCAGTATTTCCCCAACCATCATGCTCAAAAATAACCACACCCTCAAATATATGAGCTGCACCAAGAGTCTATACAATCAATAAGTCATCAGCATTCAAGAAGTTCAAAATCTGAAAACAGCTAGCCAAATTAAAGAATTAGAAATACTGATCTAAGCAACATATAAGTAAGAAAGGAAAGAAATGTTTCCACAAATCAGCTAAAATGATTAATACATGGACATATATTATATACAAATTATTCAGTCTATCAACTGTAATTAGATTCCCTCTTATGTCTGAAAAAGAAACTTGAAATAGCATCATAATTATGATTTCTCAAGTTTCTAAGAAAATCTCTGAATTCTAAAAATTTACAAATGTTTCATGAGGAACCCCACTGAACCAACCTATAATGCTACCTTGAATTTCAAGAGAAGAAAGTATTGACTTTTATAAAAGATTCCAAAGGTCACTCTTGATAGATCAGGAAAAGCTAAACCAGGAAAGGCATTTCTGTTCAATTTACCTGTATGCCAGAGGTTCATGTGAACAGCTTTAAAACGTTCTCTTTACCAAAGATGCAAATAGCTATATTCCCTTCAATACCCTGTGTGCACTACAAGGTGAATCCAGATAGCCAGGGGACTGGTTCATTACCTAAGGGCTAAAACTAAAGAAACATAATGATTCCCTCTCTTAATAAAGAGCTCCCATCCTTGAATAAAGGTCTTTTGTAAGTGAATACATCCGGTCTGCACAGATGGTACAGATAATGTGTGTCCCATCAGGAATTAGTTCTTTCTTGAAAAGCTAGGGAAGGCTATCCCAGTTCCAATAATGCTCTACAGCTAAGGTACTTTCCACAGGCTCAGGTTAGGCTCCCTGTTTTAACTCAAAAAAGCTTTCCTTTCTCCCACAGTAATTACTGAGATGGACTCTAATATAAGTTTCAATTTTGCATCAAAGTGTAGGATGAAAGGAGAATAATCCAAGCTGTGTAGTGTTGACAATTATGCCACAAATGCTACTTACTAAATCTTAACCCAACTGCAATTCTGAGATACTAATTACCCTCATTCTCTCTTTACTTCCCCTTTTCTTTCCAACTCCCCAAAATAAAATGAATGAATAAAAATTAAATTTTCAAAATGTTAAAAGCAAAGGCAGAAGAATTTACAATTGAGAACAGTAAATTACTTATAATAGGGAAAATATTCTAAATGGCATACCATAGGTGTTAAGCACTGTACTTTTACCCTCCGAAAATATGGAGGCAGTGGGTTCTCCCTACTCAGGTACAGGTAGGCTTCAACAGAAAGAGAGAAACTTGATCATACTTAAAACATCAGAAGCAGCATATAACCTTTACATGATTAACTCAAATTCAGTTTCAGTAAAGTATTTATCAAAAAGCACTAAGGCTCACTGACTCATACCAACTCATGAGAGACTTAAGACAAATTCAAGTTTTGTTCAGTATAAAGTTATTTAATATGTGATGGAAACTAGTTTACCAGAAAGCTCAGTCCTACTTAACTGGCTTCATCATTTGCATAGCAAATAAAAATGTCCACCTTACTTACCTCTTGTCCATACTTCACTGAATGATCAGAAGGAAGCAGCTCAATGTCACCCTCCACCATGGCCCCTTCCAAACATTCGTCTAAGTTGCGATAACCATTTACCTGAAGGGGATACTGGCCAAAGGTCTCACTGGTACAAAAGGGCTTTCCTAGGCAAAGAAAGAGATTGATTTTTATTACAGGACATAATTACACCCTCTATAGGCTGTTTTCTAGCACCACAGAGATAACATCTTCTGACATTCACAATTTCCAGAGAACTTGTCACAAGTGCTCTTAAGCCTGTGGTAACCTCTAAGGAACCAGTGGATCCAGGCCCTGATCATTAATAGCTGCTAATGTCGCAAACAGAGAGACAACCAGACAGTATGTGCTTCCTGGTTGAAGAACACCTCACCATGTGTGAATTAGACTTGCCAAAAAAGATTCCTATGAATCTGGTCAAACCTCTAGATCCAATTACTAATTTAATTTACAGGAATAGAAGTGGAGTCAAACATGTTAAACTGTAACATAGGCATGTAAGCAGCAAAATTCAGACTGAGAACTACTATAGAAAAAGCAACTCAGTTCTTCAAAACAGACATTTCAGGGAAACAAGGAGGGGGAGTCTACAGAATTTTAAGAGTCTTGAAAGGTCTATCAACCAATTATATGTGAACACTGACTAGATATTTGATTTGAAGAAATGCTATCTTTTTCTTTTGGCATGATAGTGATACTACATGTTTAAAACATAAATATGGGAGAAGTGAAATAGACAGACATTAGATGGGGAATGAATGGGAGGAATGAATGATTGCTAGGAACATGGGATTTTTATACTGCTCTATCCACATGTGTTTGAAATTCTCCATGATTTAAAAAAAAAAAAAAAAAAGTTGTACATCAGTTATGCAGCTTAGATAAGCCTCTACAGTAGGCAAACATCTTTGGCAGTTTAACTCAACAAAGTACTCTACGACTAATTATTACATTAGAAAAAGCAACACAGAAATTTGAGTAACATTCACTAGACATCTGAAATTAACATACACAATTTAATGTAACAACTCTGAGATAAAGACTGTCCCCATTTTAAAAGAGGAAGAGACAAGAGGTTCCAGGAACTCACAGTTTGTCCTTGATTACACAGACACTAAGAGGCAAATCAAACCCACTGCCACAGGGTCGATGCTGACTCACAGTGACACTATAGAACAGAGTAGAACCACCCCATAGGGTTTCCAAGGCTATAAATCTTTATGGAAGCAGACTGCCTCATGTTTCTCCTACGGAGTGGCTGGTGGGTTCAAACCACTGATCTTTTTGATTACCAGATAAATGCCTTAGGCACTGTACCACCACAGCTCCTCTAAGAGGTAAAACTAACGCTTAAAATGTAGGTTTTACTGACTCTAAAGCCTTTTCATTATATTGCTTCCCCGGAGAAAATTTACCAAGCATTGTCTCCTAGACATACAGTAAGAAGATGTGGTCACAAGTCACAGGTCTAGAATTAACACCTAGAGCACAGAATTTACCTTCACGAACCCCTTCAGTCAGGAAAGTACCATAAAATAGCTGCACCATTGGATTTTCAGATTTGTTGCCGGAATTGCTGCTTTTGAAGAAGAAGAGAAATCTGTGTCATTCTGATCAGATGTGTACCATTAAATCAAGTATCTAGTCAGTGTTCTAGTCAGTGTACCACACTAAATCTAACCATCATTCAAAAGTAACATTGTTCAAGTAGTACATTGTCATCAACCCCTAAAGAGCCAGAGTGTGTTCTAGAGTATTGGATACATTCAGTTCAAACATTTATTTAACAAGTATATGCCTGCATTGTGCTAAATTCTGGAGGCACAGAGAATAAGGCATGATCCTTGGCCCTCAGGAGCTTAAAGTGCAATAGAGGAGCCACACATGCAGACAAATACAAGTTATCTGTATACATTTAATACACATACATCTATATCCAGTGATAATTTTATACAAGGCACAGAAGGACAGAGGTAAGAATGAACCCTCTGTACAGTTTTACAAATAAATACATTAAGAGTTTTCCCAATAGCACAATAGTAATAAAAGTAGCTTTTCTACAAGCCCACCTGAAATTGTTATTAACTGTGTGAGCTGCTTTTTGTAAAACTGTTTTATTATATTAGAATTCTTCTACCTAGAAGTGATTTTCTCAGTATCTGCTTTAGACAAAGGACTCACGAATTCTTTACCTGAATTTCACTTGCCAATTGCTAAAATAACTAAAATCTACCCTTTTCACAAACTAGTCCTAGATTAAATTTAATGTATTTATATTATACCACCATGTTCATATCTAAGATTTGACTTTTACAACACAGGCTATGACTTTAACAAAGTTAAAAATTACAGCCCTTTTAGTGAAAAACTGGTAGGTTAGAATGCTTATATCCTCAGATGGGAAACCCAAAAGTGATGGGAATAGACACTGAGCAATAATCTAGGGGTTATCCAATGAAGTTTGGTGAAAACCAGCTATTTCTACTTGAGACCAGTAGCTTCCTCCCATGTCATAATGCACATGGGACCACTGTGTATAGGAAGGATGGTACAGGCAAATCCTTAACACTCACTTAACATTAACAGCTAGCTGGAATGCATCCTCTAGCCAATCCAGGAGCTTGTGTGTGAATTCACTCACATCTTGCTGTAAGAGAGGCACAAAGTGCATAAGAGTTAGACCCAACACTATACTGGAAATGAAAATCTGTCCTTATCCCACCAATGGCTAAGATTCTACTACTATGAGAGGATTTCTTTTCTAGGGCCAAATATCATGAAGACACAGGGGACACGGGAACCCAGGGACTATAAGTAAACCTAAAGGGAAGTTAAGCGCAACCTATGAGCAAACTGTAGTTAGAAGAAAACTAAATCCAGCCACATCTGTCTGTGGCAGAGAAAAATAATGAAAAAACAAAATCTTCCAAAGAGGCCTTAAAGAAAAAAACAAACATCCAGACAGTCATCATGTAGAACAATGCAGAGTACAGATATGATGGAGAATAGATTCATTTATGCAATTTTGTGGAAATGTGGAACCTCTATCTAAACAGGGGGAAAAATTTATATGAGGAAGAAGGTGTTCTAATAGCAATAGCTTTGGCTTTTAATAACAGGAAAGGACGAAAACTGCTCAGAAAAGCTGAACTCAGATTTCAAACCAAAACCAAGCTCACTGCCGTTTAGTCAGACCTGACACATAGCGACTTCTCCTTGGGTTTCCGAGGCAGTATCACTACAGAAGTAGATCACCCAGTCTTCCTTCCAAAGAGTGGCTGGTGGGTTTGAACCACCACCCTTCTGGTCAGCAGTCAAATGCCTTAGGCACTATGCCACCAGGGCTCCTATTTTCAATCCCAAGACAAAGGCGCGAAGGATTTTACATTTCTGAGTGACTCTGCAGTGTTTCACGGGGATATTTTTCAACTCCCTCCTTTCTACTTCAATCCCCTATTGCTGAGTCAAATCTGACTTATAGCAAGCCTACAGGATAGAGCAGAACTGTTCCACAGGGTTTTGGAGGCTGTAAATCTTTACAGAAGCAGACGGGCAAAACCTTTCTCTCCTGGACTGGCTGGTGGGTTAGAATCAATAACCTTTTAATTAGCAGCCAAGCACTTAACCACACCACCACCAACACTCCTTTCTACTTCAATACCACAATCTTTACGGAAGTAGACTGCCCCATTTTTCTTCTGCTCTACTTCAGTAGTCCCTCGATAATTCTATTCCTTCTATTTCTTCCTCTATGTACAACCGCCATCCCACGCCTCCTGCCAGACAGATACACATGCACATACACACACACAAACACCCACACCCACACTTTTACCACCTATTTCTTAAGCATTATAAAGGGCACAAACAAGCATACATGGTCTTCCCTATCATTCAGAATTTACAGTTGAAATAAAGCAGTATCACAGTAATATAAATAAGACATAATTTAAAACCTCTACAAAGTTTGAAAAAAACAAGGTAAGAACCAAGCCTTCTCTTTTGTACCTGCTGTTCTTCGGATGATCGGAATGCTCCCTTTAAGAGATCCAGGGCTGCTGAAGGATCGACAAATTTGCGATTTGATCCCATCATCAGAGCAAACAGATACTGCAGCTCTTGCATAAACACAATATTTCTCTTTTCCTGTAGAGAACACAGTAATGAGTACTTTCACAACACTTGATTTGAAAAATTAGAACATATAATGAGAAAAGTTGTTAATGATTACTCCCTAATTTATATTTATCTAGATCTAGTTCAGAGTCAGATCTCAAATTACATTACAGGGGCTCTGGTAGGCCTGTGTAAAACATCACTCTAAAGAACCTCTATCTAGAAGCCAGAGAGATATTTTCAGAAAAGCAAAATGTTCATTTTCTAAAGCTATTAGGTCCCTCCTGTTAGGAAATACATTGTCATGGTGAAATCCTGGCAAGAGTTCAATGGCTGAAAGAATATATGACTACAAGAACAGAAGAACTAGATGGTGCCTGGCTACCCCTGTCAACCACTCGGAGGGGGATCAGTACAAGAGATCTAGATGGAGTGGGAGAACAATGTGGAACAAAACTTAAAA